CATTAGTTGTCATACAAAACGAATGATATTTTATAATTTGGACTCCAAACGAATTTGGTAGTTACAATGTGATTCAAATGCTATTTCTTGTCGCCTTTACTCTTGTACGAACTCACTGCAATGGAAACTGGTACAATGAACCAACGCGACAGCCATTTTTGATTAACATTCAGAGTGATGGTCTCACTTTAACTTACTCGTGGAGCAGCAAGCAGAGCCATCGCGATGCCTTTCGCTAGGCCAATGAACCGGGAGAGTGGATAGACCCTTGAGCTCCAGCTGCATCGCCCTCTCTTGGCCGGCTGTGTTTCCGCCTCTTTCTCCGTCAGTTAAGCGGCCCGAAATAATGAGAAAGACGACGTCCTTGCTTCCTGCATCTGTCATAAGGAGTCACAAGACATTTAAGACGCTTTGGAACGAAATTTACCAGCCTGCTGAGTGCTGCCGATGGCAGCTAAGCCAGGTACACGGCTGATCATAAATCAGCGGTCTCGATAGCCTTGGCTACAGCGCAGAGATACTACCAACAGTTGAGTACTTCTCGAGCCCTGGGAAGAAGCCGTACGTTGTTGTGAAGCTGGACGAGGAGAACTACGTAATGAATTCAGAAATTGCGCGTGGGAACCTTTTTGCGACCTTCAGGTGTCGGCTAAGAACTCTGAGTTGACTTTACCATGGGAATGCTCCTCCAAAACGAAAGCGAAGCGCACTATCTGGAGCTTTACTCCCAGTAAGCTTACTGAAATGACGAAAGAAATGGCTTCCATGAAGAAAGACTCCGGTGAATTTGCCAAGAAGCTGTCATACGCGGAGTTCAGCTTCGCAAAATTTGCAAGAAGTGGGAAGATGAACAACAATACGACCATCCAAGAAATACTACGGACTGTCAATCGTCCTGTGTTATGAATCACCGCGCAGGAATCTCATCAACGCTTTGCTAATGTGCTCGTCCAAGCTCCCGGGCTGATTACTTTTTGTGCTTAGTAGGGATATTCATCATGCGACAGTGCTGGAGGAGAAGGATGATGTGTTTGACGACCGTGGTAGTTCAAGTACAAATGTATGAACAACTGGTCTTCGTTGGTGGTGAACCGTAGCCAGATCCCACGTCTTTTAGCCAACACACCCACCTTTTATCCCACGACAGACGGCCAAAATAAGCGACCTCATTCAACTGGCTGGCATGACAAGTGGTGCGTCAAACGCCATCTCAATTTAACTTCTCTATAACACTTTGTGTTTCATGAAGTTAAAGGCACCCAAGAAGGTCGTCCTGCACATATGGCCGGTAAGCCTAGATTTACTACTGTTAATCTCTATCGTTGCAAAACAAGATGTATTTTTACTAGATAAAGTCGATGACGCTATTGCGTTTTTGTTAGGCAACCATGCACTGAGTCCTTGACGTGTCCTGTCTTGTTGATGATTACCAATCGCTCATATCGCAAGACACAGAACTTCTCGTACAGAGCCACACGCAAGCGATGCCGAGTTGAAAGACGCTGGTTTCGTGTTCCCGCCAATTTCTCGATCTGAGATACGTAGAGGGCAACAAGTGTTGCAGGCACTCGTTTCTTGAATAAGCCCTTCGAGCTACTCGAAAGGCTAACAGGTATTTCATGATCTCAACTCACAACGCGTTGGCAGTGCGTGCTTCCAAGCATGCAGGTTACGATTTCATCTGATCGCATACGTGATCTTGTATTTCGTTTTTAATATCGAGTTCATGTTTAGTTTTCTTCATGCGTGCGTTCCAGATGCGGTGACAAAAGTTGGTTAAACTGATGGCTGGAGTAGGCGAATGCATTCGCTCACATTCCAACATTCGGCGATTCTGGCTGGCGTTCCTAAAAAACCCACGGAGATTCTCGTGGTTTATTATGGGTGCTTCCAGGGGCTGAGTTAACATCAAACGTTTCTTTCTTCAACCTTAAAAAGGAGGAACCGAGGCTTGCAACTGCCAGTGTCCTCGATACCATCGACGTGAAGTCCAACATTCAGCTAAAATAAACGACGATTGAGTTTCAACATCGTAGTATCGAAATGTGCGCTTACGGTCGCGAACATGACTCGACGCTCTGCGTGCTCGATGTCCGTAGTCAAGCGCTTATAGGACGGCTCCACGATCTTGCATGGCCCACACCAATCCTTGTGCACGTCAACAACTGCCGCAGCATGGTTATCAACCGCCTGCAGCCATTTCGATTGCTCCAGGAAGTGGGAAACGCACAGACTAACTTCTTTTCGCTGCTCTCCAGCACTTGCACCCAGTGCTCAGCGTCCCGAACCTTCGTCACCAACTCCATCGCTGCAGTTTCTACCCAAGTGGCTCTTCAGATTTCTTTGGCGACGCTTGACAAGTGAGTGCAATGATCCAAAGAATATTTTACTAGACTTGCGATAAATTTAGTGAGTGTCACTGTAAAGCTCCTCATTCGCGCCACCGGTAGTATTTTTTTACTCACAAATATTCGGAAACAAACAAAAATGTTCGGAGGATAGCTTACTCCAGCGATAAAAGTGGTAGTTAGTGTGGCAGCTACCAACTCTTTCCGAATTACTCACAGACCTCACCCGTGAAATGAGGCTCCCCTCAAACACACAGTTGGCGTCTTCCAAGGCTCCTTTGGCGCCTCTAAATCCAACTAAGCTCTCTTAGTTTTACGTGTTGCACAAGTACTCTGTTCATTTTTAGAGTCTTGGTTTGTGTCGCGATTATCGTGGGTTCTACGACTAATCGAGTCGAGCGTGCGGCAAAATAAGTAATAACACGATTTTCGAGGGTGGACCATTGTGCCAGACAAAAATATAGTCCGAAAAAGCTACAATGTTTGGGATATACGTATTTTAGTTGTCGAAGAATGATACAAACAGTTTCAAGACTGCAGGTTACTGGTTACTGACACAAGACTAATTACACGTTTTTCCACGGCCACTTCGTAGTCGTAGGCTACACATATACACTTCCTGTCCTCAAAATTTCAAATCAGGTTTGTCATTAGAGTAATATTAAACTACTTCATACCGGTCGTAGTCTCTGGGAGCGACCTGGCTTTTATTTATATCATGTACTACAGGATATCAGATTTCTTAAGTACTGCAACCAGGTGCCTCTATTAGAGTAAGTTTAAAAAACTTCGTATGCAGTTCACCACACGAACCAGATCAGCAGCAAAAAAATTGGCCGGAGCCGCCGGATCGACAGTTTCATGCAACTCCCAGTTTTCGGAACACACGTTACCAGTACGCCAACCGAATGCTGTAACCCATGACGCCGAGCCATCGCCCCACAAGATCCGTCCGATTAGTCAGCAGGCAGATCGATCGTCGTTTCGTTCTTCGCTGCAGATTGAGGCTGAACAAGCTAACGATGGCGAAGTTATGGATTTCAATGGTATCGTGGATTCTGATTTCTCGTCAAGTGATGAATCTGATGCTCAGACTGTGGCTTGGCTTATCATTTCGGTTGAATTTGAATCTCGGTAGTCGTCGGATGCTGCGTCAGAGCTGTCAGCTACCGATGCTAAGGTGCAACGTACTGTCCAGACTCTGCGACTATCGCTGCTGACTACCCAAATGGCAGCGTCTCGTAAAAAAATCCGATTCCGATGCTGACTCAACGGCGACGGTCGTTTTTGATTCCGATGATGACAGTGACTCACCTTCTCGTGACGAGGCAATTGCTCTATCGTCGGCAGCTCCTTCTCCTGCAGATGGGAAAGTTCAGGTAACAAGCACCGAAGAGCTGCCTCTAGATGAATTTCCGACACCAGAAACGGTCTCAGGGACCGATCACCAAGATGCTAATACTGATATAGTACCGGTGGGAGAAAGAGCCACGCTACCTGACGCAATGTCTACTTCTTCTCCAGTGAATGGACGTCCGGTGGCTCCAGCGTCACGTCGTTCTCTTGGCGGCGTACGGTCGTGGCCACGCTGTCAGACCTCTAACTCGGATCGACAATCGCTGCGTCCAAATGTATCGCTTTCTGCGGTTGTACGCATTTCGCAGCCCCTTGCACGCTTCTCGGAGCAGGTAGCCAGGTGGGCTTCGCTCTACATACTCCTTTTACTCTTCGTGGTGCGAGCAAGTGCTGGATTCAAATCCTGAACAATCGACTTTCATCTCCACTGCCGCCGAAAAACACTAGCTGTGTCAAGTTCATCCGAGCTTTCGCGAACTTCCGGAAACCGGATCATCCGTGGCAGATAGCTTGTCGTTTGATTTCTTCACACGCTTGTCGCGTTGGAACCGAAGAATTCGATGTCGACTCTCACGTTTCGCAGCGAGCTCCTCCACTACGTCGTTTTAAAGGATATTGACGTAAGCTTCGTTAGGATGACCCCGAAGATGACTCTGATCTTGGATTCTCACTCTGGAAACCAAATCACTGGTCTGCAGCTCGCACCATTGAGCTCGGCTTGGAGGCTGGTAACCGAGCTCTCGTCGAAGACACCACACTCTCGAACAATGCTAAAAGCCGCCATCAAGCTTGATTTAGACGACGCCAGGGCGGCCTGGGATGAAAATGGCATCGGCCGGACCAAGCGTGCTGATCAACGTCGCGTCAAGATCATTAGCAACGTGTAGAAATGGTGTGTCAGCGCTGAGTCCCGGTTCGGTGATATCATTCCTGAAATTTTGTTTGAGCCGTCGATGCCTGGCAATTTTTTTTTTCGAATATCTGACTTGGATACCTCCGTCTTGAGCACATTTCCGGCGTTGGACACCGCCGAACCATGGCGTATTGGATGGGTTGACACACCTGATCTGCACCCGTACAACACGACACCCGCACCATGTAATGTCGGATTTCTGCTGTTCATTCCTGCTGGTGAAACCCGTGAGTCCGTGGACCACCAGATTGAAGTGAATGTGGTGTTGGAATTCCCACGTGAACTCTAGCTACAAATGTAGTTAGGATGTTCCCACAACAATACGTCTACTAGGATAGTAAACGATCGTTCGGGCGGACCTGAAGACCCCAGTTCTGCCCTTGCACCGGGACAAACTGGACCTTGTAAACTACTTATATAGGCCAACCAGTAAAATAAGAACACGCTACTAGCACGAGCAAAGCTAGCAGGTGTTTTGAATCCTCGTGGTCCCAACAGCGGAAGGGTACCAGGCACGGGTAAGCCTTTTACGAGATCACCGAGTGTTCAGCACTCGGCTGGAAGAAATAAAGGGGAGGCAATTAAAGCACTCCCAGTCGTGCAAATAGGCAACAATAAGCCGTCACGTAAAACCTCCCGATAATAATCGGCCAATACACAAAGTCTCTTGGCCTTGCCGGATGAACCCTCGCTACAGAGCTTCGAGTTCACCGACAGGCATAACACACTCAAACAAGCTTGACCTGACGCTTACCTTGAAGCCGGACGTCGCTCTGTGTGCTTGAGTGGAAATTCTGTTCTGTATATAAGCTTACCCTTTCGGGTCTATTCCTAATAAGAAGTCCTAATCAAGTATACAAATATCAAGTGAACAATGATCCGTTATGGATCTTCTTGCATGCCAAGCGTCGTCTGCACTGTCACATGAGCATCTTTAACGGTCCGCGCCCTGTCCCAGACGGTGAACGTGTCTTCCAAAGGTCGCTGAGTATTCCGCGGACTCATCCCAACCGCCACTGAGGGTTCGTACCGTAGATGGTCCGCTGAATGCGAATCCGGCCAGTCCATTATTAATAATAAGGACAGCCTGGATTCAGTGACATAGGGCCGTATCCGATACTTGTTGAAAACTCGGATGTGACGCCGTCGAGTCCCTTGCACCTTGGCGTCTCCGTACATCACCTGACCGAGGGTTCGTCGCTTGAACATCCTTGGCGGTGTCACGTCTTTGTCGACGAGTGATAATCCGCAACTACGGAGAAATCACTACACCACAGCTATGTTGAAGGAGTGGGCTGGACACGCGGATCTCGCTGCCTTCACCATGTACGTGAAGGCCCAATGGCTTGAAGGCAACTTCGCAAACTGGCAGTGCTTTCTGACGCCATCCGGGTATGCCACTACCAACAACCCGGTTGAGCAATTCAACCGAGTGCTGAAACGGGACTACACTCACCACCGCCAGCTGATAATGGGAATGCTGCTCGCCCAGCTACTCGCATGTTGTGGCCACCGCTCAATGGCGTTGCCTCAGTTCTCGCTCGTGTCCACCTGCTCGACGACGCTTCAGACACGCACACGGGGGCTTCGTCGCCGCGGACTGCTGAGTGAGAACATCGTTA